GAATTGTCAATATTACAATATTTAGTTTTTGGATTCTATAGCTAAAATTGATTAATGTTCATTTTACCATGAAAACATTCTCTTATTATTTCCTTATTATATGGAAAAAATTTTAAATAAATAATATAAACTAAATAAATGAAATCTATAATTTAAGTCATCTATCTATATTAGTTTAAATAATAAAATAAATATTCTGTGAACTCATGGAAGTTCGTCTATCTGGTTTCATCTTCCTAACATTCTAATTACAGTAAATACATATCATTAGATAAAATTAAATATAAGATATTATTTTATATTTACTGGTATAAAGTTCAGAGTAATAAGAGGGAGTACTAGGTACTATCTATAAAGGCTAAGGTTCCATATTCACTAAACTTTCAGGTTACCTTGGATATAGTTATATTAAATGTTTTGAGACTCTATATTTTAATAATGATTTTTCTATGAATAACAATACTATAATATGCTTTTATCCTCTCGTTATTTGTATGGATAAAATTTTCAAATAAATAATTAATTAAATGAATAGAATCTTATCTATCTACATTAAATAATAAAATAAACATTCTATAAAATTTTCATCTATAAAGGTCAAAGTTCCATATTCCTTTGCTTTGGTTGAATATGATACATCATTCAACTAAACACATTCTTTAAACTTATAATGGTCAAATAGGATTCTTTCAATCCTTTTTATACAATAGGCCAAAATATATTGGTGCGAACTTCATTTGAAATTTCCTTGCTCATCTATCAAATTTGGTATTTCTATTAGTTCTGCTGTAATTGTTCCTCTTTGTTTGATGATATGCGTGAATATAATATTGGTAATACTTTAATGTTGCAATTTTCTACTATGATCCCCATATATTCTCAAGATATTTCTTTAAACATATGACCCGTATTTCTACAGAATCAAGTCACATCTAAATCAGGTGGTAATTCCAGAGTTTCCTACTGTCTTGACTTTTGTCTAAAAGAATGTGAGTTAAAATATTGGATTACATTGAATATAGTTGTATTGAGTATTTTCAAATATATAATAATAATTGAAACATTGAAAATTAAAAAGGAAAGTGAAATAACCATGGAAGTCATTTGTTGATCGTACATTCATATATTGTATATGTAAGGTAATATATATACTAAACTAATAATTTTTGCTGTTTAAAGGAAATCCTGATATGGGTTTATTGAAAACCAACATGATGCACTTCAAATATGATTGAAGAAAGTGATCTTTCATGCACTTGATACATAAGGCCTGTTACAATACAAAGTATGGATGCTTTTCTAGTAAGCGCATCATATTCAGCAATTTTATAGGAATCCGAGCAGCAGCATTTAAAGCAATGACTTTTATATCTATCTGGTATCATCTTATAATCTTTCAACCAATGGACTTGTTCAAAATAAAATGTGCATTTATCATTTTTTGGATTCTTCTATTTCCAATCACAAAGTATTTATTGTTTCTCAGTATTGATAGTTTTATAAAATACTTTGGTTTAATAATTAACCACAAACTTTCTTCAAGCACCTTTGGCTAGCTATTGGATCCTTCCAACTAAGATCATCAATATTAATATATCTAAAATATCATCACATAATTCTGTATCATTGTCAGATATATAGTATTTTATGGAATTTTCTCTTATAAATAGCCAATGTTAGTTTTATCTAAAAAGGGTGTGAGTTGAGATACTTAAATATCATATTGAGTATTTCGAGTCTCAATTATTCTGCCTTCCCTTTTAATTCTAAATCACAAGGTATTTTTTGTTCCTTAGATTAGAAGTCTTATAAACTTATTACCATAGTCAGGATCTAAATGATTTGCACAGTATCCTTCACCAACCATCTTAAAGTTGTATGTGAATTTCCATGTTTAATGATTGGATGTCCTTCAACTATCAATTTAATTTTTTTGCCTCAAAATGGTATTTTCCAATAGATAGTTATTCCAGAAATAATAGAATACAATTATATTTATGGAAGTGATTGAAAATTCTAGCTGGTAAATACTATACTTAAATTTGCAGAATTTAGTTATAAATTGATTGTAATTGAATGAAACACTAAAAGGTTTGTTGATAGTTGAAGGGTACAATGCATTAAAAAGGAAAATTTTTATTTTTTCATTATATAATAAAATATCTCTGATATAAGAGTTATACTGAATAAATGATTGTCTCTAGTGGTTATGTGTAGTGTACATTCTTTTCAGTAATTTTAAGTTTAATGGTATTACTATACATAGGTTTTTAATGTATAATACATAATATCAAGTAGATAATAGTATTGATATTATAAATATATAATAATATTAACTTTGTATTTTAACATAATCAAAAATTATAAAAGTGAGAAAGTTTTGATAAATATAAAGTTATAAAATAATATTTATTTATTAACATTATTTTTTTCCATTTTATCTAGTAATTATTTGGTAAAATATAATGAAGGATTTGAGTAACAGGTATGTATTTATAAAAAAATTAAATGTGGTTGGTAATATTAAAAAGGCTTTTTTCCAACAAAATGTTTATTTAATGGACAAAAGAAAAGAATCTTGGAAAAATGTTGGGCTGTGTAAATTTTCTACTAAAAACAATCACATGAAAAATAAGCCATACTACCAAGCCATACACATCATTACTATCATTTACTTGTATACATATTCAATGCTGTGCCAAATCATAAGACCATATGTTAAAATCAAAATAAATTTAACGCTTATAATTATATATGTCGCCAAATAACGGGCTTTTATAAACAAATATTTAGTGAGCGAAAAAAAAAAAACCACAATGCATAAAATAAATACTTGGTTCGTTTATTATATGATTGGTGCGTTGATTTACCACTAGAACTTTCCTTTTTTTGATAATTCCAGAACAATATAGTAGCGCTTGATCAATTTATCTATTATTGTATAATAAGAGTTTAAGATGCGCTAATAAAAAATAAACACATGTTGAGTATGATGAACAAACACACATTTATGACGCAATATTTGTGACTGCCAAGCTTTATCCGAGTATTATATTTCCTGAATAATTGTCTTTGTAATAATAAATAAAACTAATGAAGATAAATTTGGTAATCGATGACGTTTATCGTCTTCAGCCACCAATATTTCGATCAAGTTATTTATTAGCAGAAATGTAGAACATAAATTGCGTTACTTATGTTTACTAATTAAGAGATGATTATAATATATATTCCAGAATCTAGAATCATGTCCGTCCAAACACTTTAATGATATTAAACAAATCATTCAAATAACAATAGTTCTAAATCTGAAAATTTCATAACCTTTACATAAAAAAAGGAGTCAAAAGCAGTAAAGGATTCATCCCAGTCCCATAGTTAGTAAGTTTTATACTAACAATCAGATTTTAGGTAATTATTTTTGAAGTTAATTTAATTTATTGTATCCACATCATATTTTAATTTAAATTGGAATTAGGAATATGAAAATAATGAAATTGGGTATGGTACAAAACTCAAAATCCAGAAAAATTGGCCCACATTAAGCTTTAATGCTGCCCGAAAGTCGTACTATAAAATTTTGACCTGTCGGTGTCGTGATTTTGGACGGCACCTATATTATTATTGAAATTTAGTACTCATTTTATTTAATAAAGAGCTTTTAAAAATTTATACGCAGATAAACCTTTTAGTTACAATTCTTCAAATTAGAAAATTCATTTATAATAGGTAAAACGTACTTTTTTGCAAAAACATCAACGAACTAGCTCCTCTATCGACTCGGTAATGGTACTGGAATGAGCAAAATGCCAAAATCAGTAAAAAATGTTTAAGCAGCTAGACAGATAATTCCGGTCTATTTGTACATAATGTAATGTTTAATGACTTAATAATAATAGTTTTTAATTTTAATCTGGTTCCATTTGAAGAAATTATCTCAATTAGATTCTATATCAACATTAGTATACTGGATTTACTACGAAATTTCGACGAAAACTCGACGTTCACGATCCTGACAAATCGGGAAACCTGAAATTTCAAAATCTCGACATTCACTATCTCGGCACTAAATATCCTCATGAAAGCAAAAATTTTAATTAATCAGTATATTTATTATATTTATTAAAAATAAAAAATTAGTATATATTATATTAAAGTGTTATTGAAATTATTAAATATTAATGAAAAAATTTAGATGATACTTAATTTTACGATGTATTAATAAAAAATATTAATATTTACAATAAAAACATTAAATTCTTGCGAAATATTTTTAAAAAATTGTTACGTATCAATAATATATTGATTGTTAACAAAAATTATATTACACACCGCAGTGTTCAATGATTTATGTATTTTTTTTTTATTTGTTACCCTAACTTTCTATTCTATATTATTATACTTACATTTTTATAAGTTTTTGATTTTTTTTTTTATTTTCACAAAGTTTCTAGTACGAGTATTATTCAAATTCTTTTTTCTGACCATTTTCAAGGGTGCTGAGCAATTTTAATTAGTTGTGAAATCACATACTGTGTTGAGCACCAGTGGTGTAAATCAAGTGTCGGAATAATGAGTGTCCGGATTTTGAATTTTTGGCACTATGATTTGCCAGGATTGTGAACGTCAGTGATCGTTGGTACCTCTCAAACATGATTTATTTTGTGGTACTAAGTGTTGTACAATTGAATGTAAATTAATGGTTCTTTCTAATTTTGGTAAAGCTATAAAATAAAATGAGCAACATTAATATGGCAATCTCGGAGAGCTTTTCTAATATTTGTCAGATAAAAAAAAACTTATTTGTTCTAGAAACCAAATGCCTGTATTAATTAATATTCATTCAAATTACGGTTTAATATGACACACTTTATTAAAGTTTTGGTTTGCGTAATATGTAACGAAACACGTTACGGAATTTCCTGATTTGGGAGTTGTACAGAATTTCATAATTATACATAAATATCGAAAAAATTTTTTTTTTTTTTTTTAATTTAATAATGTCTTTTACTTCGGTTGAAGGAAAAGTTGCATTCGTATCTGGTAAATTTAAAAATTTAAATACGTAAATTAAAATAAATTTCGTTTTTAAATTAAATTAAATTAATAATATTTATTTATTTATTTTATTTATTTATTTATTTTTTGAAAAAAAAAAAAATTTAGGCGCAGCTTCCGGAATTGGAAGAGCTGTAGTAGCTCGGTTAGTTAAAGAAGGGTAAGCAAATTATAATGTAAATTTTTCATAAATTTTTTATTTTTTAAATAACTAATTTTTCTTTTTTTTTAAAAAAAAAGTGCAAAAGTCACTATCGCTGATGTTCAAGATGATCTCGGAAAAAAGTTTGCAGAAGAACTTAATTCTGGGTAATGTTTGTGATACTAAATATGAATGACGAAACATCATCTAATACAAATTCGCTAATCAAATAGGAAAACGGATCAAGTCGCTATTTATGAACATGTCGATGTATCTAATTGGAATGAATATTTGGCTGCGTTCAAGAAAACTATACAAACTTTCGGTCATATTGATGTGAATAATTTTCACTTATTTATTTATTTCAATATCAGATATGATTAATTTATTAAATAATAATTTTATTTTTAGATTGTTGTAAACAATGCTGGTTTATTCACAGAAGGAAATTGCATGTTTGATGACTCTGAAGAACGTACGTGATGATTATTTCAAATATTTATATAATGAAATTGATTAATTGATTTTTTCCTTTTTTTTTAGCCCCACATGCATTAAAACTGATCGACGTAAATTTAAAAGGTGTACTTAACGGAACAAAACTTGGAATTAAATTTTTAAAGCAGAATGGAAAAGACGGCGGAGTAATTGTTAATACTTCATCAATTAGTGGCCTCTATACTTCTCCCTTTGTTCCATACTATACCGCAACCAAATTTGGTGTAATCGGTTTATCAATTTCCATTGCAGAAACTTCAGCTGTGCAAAATATTCGCGTTAATGTCGTTGCTCCGGGAGCAGTAAGTAAGTAAATCTTTAAGGAATGTTTGTCTTTTAGTTTTCTTTTTCTTTTATTTTATTTATTTTAAACATTATTTTATTTAGATACTCCTCTGATGAAAGATATAGCTCATACAATCCCTGATGATCAGTGGGTAGATCTAAATGAAGTAGTTGATGGATTCTTTAAATTTTTTACCAATCCATCTTATAATGGTAAATGATTATTTTTAAATCGGTTTAGGCTTTAAATTTTAATATTTGTATTTGTTATAATTAATTGATTGATTGATTATTATTTGTAGGCGAAATTATCACTATATTAAATGGTTCATCTAGTTTTGTTGATAAATCAAAATTTGCCTTACCTAACCCTTTAATGAATGATTTCGAATTATCGAAATTTGGCGAAGTAATTGGAAATAAATAAATATTCTTCGCCTGGTTTTTTATTTATTTATTAAGATTTTTATTATTTTCGTTTAATCTTTTTTAATTCATCAATTTGAAAAATTAATAAAACCTTTTTGTTTCGAATGTTTTATTTGCAAAAGTAATATTTGGTGACAAAAATGACAATATATTTCTACGCATTATGAAAAATTTTAAGTAACAGACACTACTCTGTTTCACTCACGTGGTTGGAAAATTTAATTTTATCTTTTTTTGCTCCGGACTCATAACGGGTTTTCTAATTATAAATAAATTCGATGTTATTAATAACGAGTTTTCACGGAATTTTATACAAAAAAAATTTATCGCAAACATTATAAAAAAAAATAGTTTAAAATATTTTGAATTTTTTTAAATAAATTTATTTTAATAATTAAAAAAAAAAAAAAAATTTATATATAAATAAATTCAATAATTATTTAACCATTCGAAATAATAACTATTTCAGCACCTAATTCTTTATCAGCTTTTTGTGATAGTTCATTTCTCACCAAAATCTTATTGGTCTTTGTGAATAAGGGATACCTCATCTTTGGATTTTAACGTATTAGTAATAGTTGCTTTTTTAACGCGGAATATTTCAAGTGATACTTCCCCTTCTGAATTGCGTACACCGCAAAAATCCACACCAATCTCATCGATTACAAAATTTACAATATTCATCCCACCAATTCTAAATGTAAAATGCTTTCCATTCTTGTCCCCATTATTATGAAAATAACCTCCTATACAATGTTCTTTACTATTCTTATCACGAAAATTAAATAATATTACAAAAGGACTATTATTATTACGTTTATATTGTTTGAAAAATATTAGACCAGTTGCTGCATCGCATTTTAATCGATAATCCAGTTTAAAATTATATGGAATATTAATAATATATGCTGATTCATCATCCTTTTTATCTATCAAATTTGCAATAATAACAAATTGTTCTTTACTAAGTATTTTTGAATTAAAATTAGTACTCTTTGAAACTCTTGGCAATGATTTAAGCATAGTTGTATGTCATGGTACCATATGAAATTGAAGAATGTCTTGTTTTATTTCTTTAGGTAAAATTTCTTCAAAAGGTTTTATTTTTTTGAAAAGTTCTTTAGAAGAAATTTGATAAAATCTGATTAAAGGAATAAGATTATAAATTTTTCTTTCTAATTCAGTAAAATCTTCTTTAATCCAATCATTAGGATCATTACTTAATTGTTTTGGAATTTGTGCAACACCCCATTTAATTAAATTTTCCCAAATTTCAATTTCAACCAAGTTAAGATCATCTCGTTTTAGAATAATTTCCAATAAAGGATTGGGAAGTTTTGTCGAAATTATTAGCGTGAAATCAAATTGTATCTAAACACAATTCTTGTAAATTATTAAAAGTATACTTTGTATTTAAAATAATTTGAAGAATTTCTACGGGATATTTTCTTAAATATTTTGAATGATTTTCAATAAGATATTTTTTCGATAAATTTTGTAATTGCATCCAAAGAAAATTTTGAAGAGGCATATAAAATATAAAATATTCCGTCTCCTCCTTTATGAGTCAAATCGATACTTCCAGTATAAATGTAACTATAAAAAAAAATAAAAATATATATTAAATTAGGACTTATAAACTTTTTATTTTACTTTTTTTTTTTTAATTTTACGATGCTGCAACTTACATAAGAATCATTTCGAAAACATTTTATTAATTTCTGGAAATTTGAATGTGAATATGTCATTTTCGTCTTTAAATTCTTTAATTCGACTAGAAGAAAATAATTTTTGAAAATATGAAGAACGACTACGAAGGATGATTGGAATTCTTTATATCCTCCTACTTGAATAATGACATTATATTCAATCTCATTATTAAGAAGACGACCAAAGTTATTTGATAAATCTGAATAGAATGTAGAAGACATTGTTTTAAAAATTTTGATTGTATTTTGTTATTTTTTTGAGAAAGTGTTTAAATATATTGAGAAAAAGAAGTCTGAATTAAGATTACGCGTGGTCTGTTACACGGAAATAACATGTTTAAGATTATGCGCTGTATGTTTATTTATAGGAAAATAATGGAAAGAATTTTATTTTTCATATCTGAATGAAACGCTAGGGGAATTCGAACACTAATTCCTGAATTAAACTAACCAGATAGAATAATACAATAATCATTATATGAGCCCGAAAAAAAAAGAATGATTAAAATTAACAAAAGAAAAAAGAGATCACGTGCTTCAGAGAAAAAGATTACCGAAGTGCAGAAAACTTCTAAATATTTATAATGAGCACTCCTAAAAATGTACTAGAACACAAATATCAAACAGTAATAGCAGAGATTCATTTGAGAATTTGGTTCGCGGAAAAGTGGAAAGATTAAATAAAACGTGGTTACGTGAGATAAAGCAAATTATTTCATTTAGATGGTTTGCAGCGTCGTCAAAACTAGAAGAATTAAAGAAAATGTAAAATGGTAGACGTTTTAATTTAGAAAGTAAAAGGTAAGCTTGAAAAGAAATGTAAAGATAAAAATTTAGTGATGGAGGATAAGTACGAAGCTACAGATGAACAATTGTCTGAGCGGAGATTAACCAGAAAAGAATAGAAAGAAGCAAACAGTAGAAACTTATTTTAAAAAATGTTTCTTGACGAATTCAACGCTTTGAACGCGGTTTTTTCTTCAAGACTTCATAAAGATCAAGTAGATAATAAAAATAGGAAGCGCGTTAATAGTGGAGAGGACAGAAAATAGATGAACATTTTTAATTAGGTTCTAGATAGGTCATTTTATTATATGTATTTGTTTTTACAAGTGCAAATTATCTTGACTAATCTAATTTGGGTCAGATGATGTTTAATAAATGAAGACAAAAAAAAAAGAAGAGAAGAGAAGAGAATGCTATATATTGTCACCACCTTAATGGCTATTATACCGATTTTTCCCAAGTTTTCTTATTTTTAGACTGTTACTTTGTCGGATAATTAACAATATAAAATAAAAACATATAAAATGTATTAAAGTTTATCATGATCTTTAACAAATTGGCAATGTTTTTTTCAACCTGAAATATTTCACAATATTTTTTTTCAAATATTCTATATATCCACACTAATCCATCAGTTACATTGTTCCCTATCGGCTCTAAATGAAAAATTTTTTTTATCTTGGCTCAATTATTATAAACATCTGCTCCTATATGATCACAAACTATAAATTGTTACTAAAAAATTAAATCGAATTCTTTTTCGTATAATTGAGAGAATCATGAGCGCGGAAGTTGAAAAAAAATTTTCAGCGTTGGAAAATTTTTCGTTGAATAAGTTTTAAAATTTATGTTGATTCTTCATCATCTATTCAATTTGCAAGAGTAATATATTGTCCTTGATTAAGTTATTCTTTGAATAAAGTTTAAAAATAAATTTAATATTAGAAAACACTGAAGAATTTCTACGGGACATTTTCTTGAATATTATCAATAAGCGTGTCCAAAGAGAACAGGTAGAATAAATGTTCCGTTTCCATATTTGTCGGCTAAATCTACACTTCCAATAATATAAATAATATAATAGCAAATATTAATTATAAAAGAAATTATGACTTGAAACATTTTTCTTATTTTTAAAATAAATAAATAAATAATAAATAAAATAAATAAATAAACTGTGTTGCTGCAACTTACGTTATAATCACTTTGAAGAACATTTCTATTGATTCTCGGAATTCGAACGTAAGGAGTTTTTAATCTTTTCAATTTAACTGGAGAAAATAGTTTTTGGAATATGGTTAACGACTACGATGGATACATTGATAGATTGAGAATAAAATTCATTATAGTTAACATATTTGCCAAGGAAATTTAGTAAAATTGAATAAAATGTAAAAAATATTGATATTTATTTAATTCTAGCAAAGAACAATTTGATAATGTACGAAACTAAAATGTTGTTTATGTAAAAAGTGGAGGCTAACCGATTTACTTGGAGATGACTCTAGAAGTTTTAAAGCTACACAACCCGGTTTGGGTTAGGAAAATAGATCTTGCGCTAAATTCCGTAAAATTCTTGAATTTGTCAGCAGGGCAGGTAATAATTCAGGCTAAAGCAGCATGAGGCGTAAGCATATTGAACAGAAACGGAAGAGATCGACAAATTTTTAGCCTAAAGCAATTATTTAAGGGTCGCGGCATTACCCTAGACCTTTTTTTTCGGAAGAACTATACTCCTATGTCGATCATTTTAAAATTTATATAAATACAACATACAATCCGGGTTTCTGACATTTTATTTAAAAATGGAATCAAAGTTATATCTAGAAGTTTTGAAAAACCTTGAACATCTTTTCGAAACAAAAGAAAATTATGATGTTATCATATACGCCGGTGAAGAACAGAATCAAAAGGTAATTTACGCTCATTCAGTCATTCTTTGTTGTCAGTCAAATTATTTTCGTACCGCATTTTCTAATAATTGGGCGGAGATAGAAAATGGTAAATATATCTTTAAGAAGTCTAATATTTTGCCACATACCTTTGAAACTATTCTCAGGTATTTATTGTATTATATGATTTATTATTAATAATTATTAAATACGATATCTAAATTACTTCAAAATAATTAAAATCAATAGGTATTTATATTGTGGCCAAATTGATTTAAGCAGCAATAATGGATCAGATGTATTTAGCTTATTAATTGCTACAGATGAACTTGGATTACAAACGCTTAGTGAACACGTTCAAGAATATTTAATTAATAATCAAAAAATTTTTTTAAATGATGATCCCGTTGGAATCCTTGAAATTACTTCTCAGCATGAATCTTTTGTTACGCTGAAGAACGATTGTTTGGAAAAAATTTGTCAACATCCGGATATTTTATTCAGTGGCGACAATGTTTTGAAATTATCAACGGAATTGTTGGAGTTATTACTTCAACGAGATGATCTTATGATTAATGAAATCGAATTATGGAATAGCTTGATCAGATGGACTCATGCACAAAATCCTACTGTCAATAGAGATCCTTTTGAATGGACAAATGAAGAATGTGCTTTAATGGGAAGAACAATATCAAGATTCATTCCATTGATTAGGTTTCATGATATTGGCTCAAAAGAATTTTTTGATAGGATAATACCCTATGAAGATTTGTTATCAAAAAAACTAAGACATGAAATCTTACAGTATCACTTGTTTTCTCATACAAAACAAATAGGATCTTTACCTTCACGTAAATTTAATACAAAATTTATCAATAGAAAGCATTTTGCATTATTTTCAAGTTGGATAGACAAAAAAGTTGTGACTATAGAACCAATTTCATATAAATTCAATCTTATTTTACGTGGGAGTCGAGATGGATTTAATGCTTCTACATTTCACGCAAAATGTGATAATGAAGGAGCGACAATTATTGTTGCAAAAATTAAAAATACAAATCAAATAGTTGGAGGATATAATCCATTAGATTGGGTAGGAAATAAATCTTATAATATCACAGATAGTTTTATATTTTTATTTGACGATTATAAAAATATTGATACCGGTAAGTTAGGCAAAGTAACAAATTCAAAGTATTCTATTCAATGTAATAGTTCTTGGGGACCACTTTTTGGGTATTTCTCTAATGGTAGTAATGATTTATCAATGGATGAAGAAGGTAAATGGAGTTCTGTGCCAAATTCTTATTTTAATATTAATATTCCAAGAAATTTTGAAATTGATGAATATGAAGTATTTCAAGTAGTTAAAAATAATTAAGAAAAAATTTAATTCATAACTGAAATTATTAAAGATCAATCAAATTCTAACAGGCAAATGTCACATTTTTAATAATCGTTTTAATAGCAATTTATTTAATTATGCATTAAAATTGTAATTTTATTTACAATTGTAATTTTATTTATAAAAATTTTATTAACCATTCAATTTTAACATTGTAATATACAAATAATTCTTCATTTAATTAAGAAGTTCTTTAGCAACTTTTAACCATAACACGCTAGGATCTCTTGCACTTATTTCATCACGATAATATCTATGTTCAGCAGGTTTATACGTAAATTCTAATACATCTTCTTGATTTAGATTATCTTTGTTAACAACATCATAATTTTCTTTGAGAGTAAAACCAAACACAGCTCTAATCAAAAACAGTGGAGGAATTAAATCTGCAAGTGTTTCATTTTGTAATAAACCGGCAGCATCTAATTGAGGAATTAATTCTTCAAATTTAAGTACCTGTCCAGCTGGAAATGAAGAATAAGATAATGGTGTATCTTTATAACCGCCAACAGCGACAGTACTGACATTATTGTTTAATGCCATACGTTGGGCAATTAAAGAGCATGATGAACCGCAAAATCCATCTGTTAATATGATCATATCTTCGCTCTTCCATTCATACTTATTAAAAAAGTCTCCTGATAATAATTGTATAAATATGCTAAGTCGTTCTGAATATCTATTAACAAATTTTGATGTGTATCGAGTAGAAGTACCACCTCTTAAGTATGTATTATTTCCAATAAATTCTTCAACAGTATGAAAATGATCATTTGTTGCCGGATTTTTGTAAGAAAAAATATCGAAATCAGAATTGATGGTAGTTACTCTGTATGCTGTTTCCGCAGCCCATCTTGCAATACTTTCTTTGCTGCTTATGTTTACTAAAGGGAGAATAAGTGATGTATCAACAAAATCTTCATGCACAGATTGTGATGTTGCTTGAAAAAATGCTTCACGTGATAACTCGGTAACAACCATATCAAGATTGAATGATGGATCAGTTTCTGGAAACAATAAATAAACGATAAAAAATGCTAATTCTACACTTCCTCCCCGATTTCCACTGAAGTCTAACACAAGCTATTGAGGTAAAAAATTATTTAAAAGGAAGTTCAAAAAATGAATAGTTAAATGATTAAGTGATATAGTACTTACTTTTTTAACACCTTCTTTTTCTAATGAATTGAATCCATTTTGTATTTCAAACATTTCATTAACAAAATAACTATCTGGAGGATCTACGCTTGTAAGAACAACAACTCCAGTCTTATTATCACTTAATATGAAAAATTTAGCAATTGTTGTTTTGTAAACCATTTTACATTCACTCATGTTATAAATTTTTGGTGCTACTGTTTTAGGATTAGATGTCAACACAATACTATCATTTAATAGGCAAAATGTATTCCAATAATCTTTTGATGTATTAAATGTGTTAGATAGTAATGGTCTAATTTTCCATTCTCTAGTAAATTTTTTTGAAGTATCATTTGCACATTTAAGAGAATATTCCACTGATGATTGCTTGGGAAGTTGATCTCTAATTGTGAAGCTTCCAGGGGATTCTATCAAGTCGCCATTTTCATTGAATGTTACCCCTGATAATGCAAAATTAAATCTTACTCCTGAATCTTTACTTACAGATAACGTATCTGCAAATTCTTTAATGACTTCTATTGAAGGCCTTCCATCAATATGTGTTACCTCACAATCGATTGTATTTTTATCTATTTCGTCTGCAAATATATTAATTACTTGCTTATCATTAACAACTGTAGAATATAATGAAAGTTGTTGATTATACATGAATGTAAAATAACAACTTGGGTAAAAACTTAAATGAGCATCTTTCGTTTCGCTGATTAAACTAACTATATCGGTCTAAAGTAAACAGAATATTTTGAAAAGTTTGATTAATATAAATAATAATTTTTAAATGAGATACAAAGTGTATTTACCATGAATTGATAATCCGTTTTATAATTATTTGATAGCAATGAATCTAGTTCTTTAACTAAATCAATAGCTGTAAAAGAAAATCCTTGTCTTGGCTGTTCTTTAGCTTCTGATAAAAATACATAAAATCCTTGAAGTGTCTTCTTTAGCGTTTCGATTGTCTGTGAAGAAAAATTTTGTTAATGTATAAACGATATTTTGTAGTGAAAATAATTTAAATTACTTTTTCAGCTAGGTTCTTATCGTATGGAAATGATTCAAAACATGCTTGAACGTCAGAGTGTTTCACGCTAATATTTGGGTCTTTATTAGATCGTTTAAGATTATTGGCCAATATCCCACATGCGTCATCATTTGCATCACATGGATCTAAAAGAAATGCGATTAACGCGAAAATTAAAATGTAAAGAATGTTAAGAGTTGATTTCATTTTTTTTTAGGAAAATTTCCAAAGAAACGTTTGAAACCTCGAAATAAACATGTCTATATATGTACGAAAAGTCTACTACTTTTTTTGGCTTAAAAAATTTGCACAGTAATAATTTAATCACAGCCTCGATTGATCAAATTGGCTATGCCAATTTTTTTAATTTTCAAAATAAAAAGCCAATTCGGACTTAGCCAACGGAATAATAACGGATTTTAATCCACAGTACGCGTTGTATTCTTCAATAAATAAATCACTTTACCATATAAATAAATTCTTAATAAACTTTAGTATACATATCGAGTGGCTTTATCATGCTTACACCATGGAAAAACCTTGGGAGAAATAGAATAAAGTAGAGGAGTTGTCAGAAATATATATTATTAATGAAACTATGGAATTTATCTGAAGTTTGATTTATATCTATGGTTAGATAATAATATTGGCGTTAAACATGTATAGAAAAATATAAGTTACATATTACTATCATACATTAACCCAGTAAATAGTCATCATTTGTAATTTATATTGTATTCATTGGTAATATATGTATATTGTTAATTTTATATACTAAATTTTGAGCTACTTAATAAAATTTAAACTATATACTAAATTTGTACCAGTTTCCAGTTTTGCAGTTTTTTTTTTAATTTATGTAACTAAAAAAATACATGTGTAACCGTAACGTTTAGACTAGCATGTATAAATAGTTTGAATCGTGTAACTTGAAATCTCATACCATATAATTAAAACCCGTGAACTCTGCCTCCGCCTAATCTATTTATGGTAACTAATTTCAGGTATGATGAATGATAATGAAATTTTACCTTAATCAGAATTTTTTTTTAGATTAATTTTTTTTGTCCGATTTTTTTTTTTTAAATAACTTTCTTTTTTTCAAACTGAAAATTTTGTTTTTCTCATTCTTTTACCGTTTAGGTTTAATTTTTTTTTCCCAAAATGAAAAAAATTTTTTTTTTTTTATTAAATAATCCTATTGTTTCGGTCTTTTAAGACCGATTTTTTTTTATATTATTTTTTTTCGATCTTCTTTTTTCAGACCATATTGTTATTTTTATTTTTTTTTATTAAAGAAATGAAATATTATATTCAGTATATTTACAAAATTATTATTTTTTAAAAAATCAAGTAACATGTGGGAAAATTGACCGATGTTGATAGAAAGATGATTAAGGTTTTTTCAATTAAATTGAATGCTGGATAAATAGTTTGATTTTCAAATTCATAAAAATCAAAAAAAAATTTTATAATTAATTAATTGAAGAAATTGTTGATTTAATAATAGATTATTATAACCAAATCCATATCCAAAATTCTCTAAATAATCACCAGATTTTTGTATAAAGATTTTAATTCAAATGGTTTAGTTAAATTAATAATTTATCGAGTAAAATGAGTATCGAAAGAATATTAATAATAAATGAAATGAACAGATTCTAATATATTTAATTGTTCAAATATTTTCCTAAGATAGTTATAAGTTTAAGATAGACGAAATATAAAATAATAAGAAATAATTATAAGTATTAGTTATTTACTAATCTAGTAGTATATAAATGGGTTATCATCCGAAGGATGATGACCCATTTATATACTAAACTAGATCAGTAAATAACTTTTTTATCATCCTAGATATACTAATTGGTCCGCCAGTTTATAACTGGCGGAAAAAATCCTAAATACCAATTAGTAGCCAGGTGATAAAATTAATTAATTATCATAATAAAAGTATTTGTAGTATTTTCATAATATTAAAGTTTTTTCGAAAATACTTCTAAAAAAATGAATCAAATTTTATTGATAATTATTTTTTTTCACAATTCCTTAATTAATCCGAATTTCATTCTACACTCAAACGTCAAATCATTAATAGCTACATTATTGTAAATATAATTGGGGATTGCTAAACGTCGCCTGGGCGATTGTCGGGTTTTTTTTTTCAAATATGTCACATGATGTGCAATATAAAAAGAGTTAATCGGCTGATTTTTCAACTTAGCTAATTTTTGATCGGCCAAACTTAAAATTTATCGCAAGATATTTTTTAAAAAAATTTTTTTTGCAAACATATTTATTCAAAATAATTTTATCTAATGAAATGGTTTAAAATTTAAACCACACATTTACGATTTTAAAGAAAAAAATCACTGTACTTATTTTTAATGAAGTGATACAAATAAAAGAATAGTAGGTAAGCAAATTACAATGATCAAGAAGAAAGATCCTAATAAAAAAATGAAATAGCAATGGAAAATAATAGAAGATGAAAGAGAGTAAAAAAGAGTAATGAGAAGTGATAGGAAACAAAAAGGAGAAATAGGACATGATGGGAGATGAAGAGGAGTGATAAGAAGATGAAGAGGAGACGAAGAGAAGTGATGGGAATATGAGGAGGAGTGATAGGAGACGAAAAGGAGTGATAGGAGATGAAAAGGAGTAATGGGAGACGAAAAGGAGTGATAGGAGACGAAAAGGAGTGATGAGAAACAAAAGAAATGATGGGAAGTAAACAGGAGAGAAAAAGAAATAATGGAAAATGAAAGGATGTAATAGAAAATAATAGAAGAAGAAAGGATGGAATAATGAGAAGTAATAGGAGGTGAAAAATGATGAGAGACAAAAAATAAAAATGATCATGATAGGAGGTTGGGTAGCAAAAGATAATGATAGGAAATCAAGTAAAAAACAAAACCATAAAGTAAAAAAAAATAAAGTTTAGTAAGAAACGAAATATAAGATAGAGACAATGTAAAAAAAAAAATAAATAAAAAAATAAGAAACGAAATGTAAAGTGAACCTTAATTGCAGAACCGGAAGGACTAGAGGGCCTAAAAATAATAAAATAGTTAGTAAGAAACAAAGTGTAAGAATGTAAGTTAGAAATAAAAATTAAGAAAAAAAAAAAACCTCGAGACTGAAAGAATCGAGGAAACGAACCTCAATCAAAAATATTAAATCTGCCACGTGATCGAAGACCCAGGCAATTCCCAATATAATTTATATCATTCTAATATTATAAATATAATTTAATACATATTTTTTATTAATTTTTGTTAACTAATTGTTACCTATATTAAATTTCTAATTATAAACAAAAAACTGCTGTAACCATCTTTAATTTACTTAGTATTACATTATTGAGTGATTATTATAATACTAAAATTTTCGATTTAAACAAACTCATTGGTCCCGGTGCGAAGCAACGGGTGACTGCTAGTTATATACTAAATTCGTACTAACTTCGCAGTGGTTACATATTTCTTCATGTTATCATGCAACAATTATTCTTCTTTTGAAACATATAAGCGACCATCTGCTAGATTATCGACCTTCCCAGTTATCAATAATATAGTAAAGATTTTCTACTTCTCGCAACGATCAATTACACATACATTAATAAATTGTTTCGCACCATAACCTCATTCCCCATTCATCCTCTGAGACTTGGTGATAGAATTATTTAACTTCAAAAACAGGTTCGAGATTTGGAAATGAGGCATATTTGTCAGTTTGCATCTTTACCTAATAATAAAGGAATTCGTTATCATGCATTTATAAATTGTTGATTAAAATCGACAATGTTTTGAAATTATCAACGGAATTATTGGAGTTATTACTTCAACGAGATGATCTTATGATTAATGAAATCGTATTATGGAATAGCTTCTTTACTATCAAATATCAATGCCTATTTTTTTGATAGTATATTATAATCCTTTCTTATAATATTATCATATGGAAATATCATGTATGACAATATGGGTATTAATATTTATTTAACAAGGTTAGCTATAACTGAACATTAATGTAATATTATATTAATAGTGCATATCCACCACCTTTATTAACTAATAAATCTGATACTAAATTACAAAAATTAAATGTTTTATAAACGCGTAACGCGTCTTTTACTTCCTGTTTTTCCTTTAAATAAGCCTTTTTTTACTTTTTTTTCTCTTTTGCTTCCCTTTTACTTTATAATTTTTTTTCTTTTTCATCTTCCTATCTTTTTCCTTTTCATCTTCTTCACTCATTCCTTTTCGTCTCCTTCTCTTCTCTTTTTCGTCTTCCTATTTCTTCCTTTGTCTTCTTTTCTCTTCTTTTTCTTCTTTTTAATTCCTTTCTTCTGTCCTTGCTTCTTCCTTTTTACCTCTCTTCTTCTTTCCTTTTTATCTTCCTCCTTTTTTATTTCCCTTTTTACTTATCCTTATTTTTTCCTCCTTTATATTGCTGATCGATTGATTAAAATTTATTTAGTAAAAATCGGCATGACGATTTTTTTAATATTACTACGGATTTCATATAATCAGCTGTCTGTCCAATACTTCTGCCTACAACACTCAGACTTAGTAGTGATCATATATGATATTTTAGTATAATTTCATTTTTATATCGACACTCCACCTTCACATACTTTAGAACATCTATTCTAAAACACAAAGAAAAGAAAACAGCAGAACAGAAACTCCCAACCTGATTAATCATCATCATTCTTGAACGTTTCTAGGGGGATAACCAATGACTTGGACGTTACAATATGGATTATTATGGACATTTAGTAGGTTTTTTTTTGGAATTTAATAAAACTGGAAGATGAATAGGCATGTAGCAGTGTTTTTTGTATTATTTTTCTTTTTTTTGTTTATAGGAATTCCAGTTTCTTGAAATTTGATAAAAGTGGACTTTATGAACAGGTATATAGTAGTGGCTTATCAGGGTTTAATTGGGATGTTAAAAAACATTTTATAACATTTCTTTTCTCTCATTTTTATTTATAGGGATACTGGTCTCAAAACAGATATCATAGACGAACAAGTAAGTGATAGATAGCCGGATACAAAATCAAATTTGGGTAAAGTAAATTGGTGGATTAGACGCAATAGATGTTAAATGCAATCATATGTTTAATGTAATACATTGTAAAGGATTTATATATATATTATAATCATTATTAATAAATATTGTAATTATTTATAAAGAGATGTTTTATTATTATAATATACATGAAAAACATTAAAAACAATGATATTGACATACTTGTTATAATACAAATTATACACTGCCCTACAATAAATTACCGGATTTGACAAAATTAGCATAGCAATTTTCACGTTGCATATAAGTTTACG